TGATAGAGGAAGCTGGTGACCGGGGTTTTTATGACCTGGACAGCAACAGCGACAGAAACCCGGGCTGTGTTCATCGAGAGCCGCAGCCACGAGACAGAGAAGCCGGGCTCCAACAACCGAGTCACATTCATTTAAATCAAATCAAATCATCTCTGGATTTATTTTAAGGAAGTGTCATTAATGTTTCACTGTAAAAAAAAAAAAAAAAGACAAAAATAATTTTACTATTATTTCTCATTCAAACACAATCTATTTAAATAATAAATACAATTTATTTTATTGATCGTTTTGAAAAAATATTTATTTAATATATGTTTTATTTTCAAAACTTAAATGAGAAATTATTTATTTTTAAAAACTGTCATTTCTGATAATAATACATTTGACTTGTAGTTATTTCTAAGTATTATAAATTTAAAATGTTAACTTTTAAAAATATATACACAACTTTGACCCATGCACGTTTTTAAATTATGCTATCTCTTTAAACTCTGTTTTATGTGGTTTTTAACTTAACTTAAAATAAATAAAGTATAACAGTATAAGAACAATTTTAAAATCTAATTCAAAGTTAATTTGCAAATGGTGATAACTTAAGTTGTTGCATTTAAACAACATTTATTTCATTTACAATTATAGCACATGCATGTTTTAAAGTATGATTAATCATTTATTTCTAATAATCATTAGTTTAAATTTTTAATAAACTTGTATTGATTTAAAATGTCTGCCTTATGTCATTGACCCTAAGTGCCACAGTCAAACTTAATGACATTTGAAAAAAAAATAAAAAATTTTTTTTTTTATATAAATGACACATTTCTGTGATTGTGGGTGGTGAAAGTGGGCGGTCCTATGAAAATGATGTGATCATTATCATTAGACACGGACTGACCCCAGGATAAATGTCAGGTCTCTTCTGCTCTACCGTAGACCTTGAAGTGATCAGAACTATTGTCAGCTGGATGTGATCAATCACTGATGATTATTGATCATCATTAAAGATGCTCTCGTGGCTGTGGAGAAGGTCAGGGCAGGAGAGGAGTGCGACAGGGTAGGTTACCATGGCGATAACACTGAGGGCGGTGCTACAGTGGGATGATTTATCCCCTCGTTGTTGAAGCCTTTTCATTTCTTAATAATTCATTCATTCATGATTCACTTTGTTCACACTTCTTTCCTCCTTTTTCCTCTTCTTCCTCCCTTCATCCTCTCATCACCCTCTCTCTCTTAACATTCTCTTCTGTCCTCTCTCGCCCTTCATCCTCCATGCTCCTCTTCCTCCTCCTCCCCTCCCTCTTTTTTTCTCTCTTTCAGGTCAATGAGAGCGAGCAGCAGCAGCTCAGTCTAAAGAGCAAGTCCTCCCTCGGTCTCCTTTCCTCCTTTCTCCTCTCTCCTCTCCTTTTCCTCTCCTCCACACGATGGAGAACACACTGCTCTTATTTTAGCATCACTGCCTTCCTCCTCCTCTTCCTCCTCTTCCTCCTCTTCTTTTTCTTCCTCTTCTCTCCTGAGTTTTGACTCCCTCTCTTTTACAAACACACACACAGATAAAAAAAAATGAAGCGTGGGTCGAGTGTGTTGCAGCCTCCTTTTGATGCAGCCAAACGACACACACACCCGACACACACACACCCCAGTGTTGGTGTTGGTGGAGGTGTTGGTGGTGATGCTCTCTCGCCAACTGTGTCCAGCAGCGAAGTCACGCCGACCAACTTGCACACTGCAGGTTCAAGCCCTTTCCCAGCAGCCACCTCTCTATTCAGTCCTGATGTCAGCAGCAAGATGGCGTCCGACCTCCTCATCAGGCTGTCAGGTAGTATAAAACACTAACACATTTTAAAGTTTTTTTTGTCTATTGTTCAGCAGTGGAGCAACACTCTTTGTAGACATTAACTCTGCCATACCATTGTCCAAAGAGGAACTCATCAATTTAATCTTCAGTTATCACCAATGACATTGACTGACCACAAGAGGCAGCAGTGGATGTGCAGCTAAATCACAGATTTTCTCTATGGACTAGCTTAATTTCTCTTTTGTTAGACACTGTTAAATAACACACAGTTATTGTTGTCTGAATTTCATGAAACAGCACAGGGACTAATAAAGAAAAAACGATTTGTAGCAACAGGTTTCCTCTAATGAATTTAGTACATTTTTGTCATTTTCTTTCTCTGTGATCGTTGATTTGGTCGCTTACTTCAGAGGCCACCCAGAAGTCACAGGTGCATCCTGGGGGACTTGTGGAGGCAGAATCTCAGCCTCCTCAGGCTCTCATAGGGGTAGATGGTGGACAGCAGGATGAGCCTGGCCTTGCTCTATCACCAGACGGCCCTGGGGCAAGCCCTGACCCGCCTTCACTTACTCAAACCCCGGACGTCAACACACCCACAGACACACTGGCCTCAGATCTGCTAAGGAAACTGGCAGGTAAGAAGGAATCACTAACATAAGAAAGTCAGTATTTTGCATTTAAAGAAAATAAAAGTTGAATTGTTCATGTAATATCTACCAACAATAGAGCAACAGGAAGTGACCTGCCACGGCGTCAGGGTCAAAGAGGAGGAGGAGCCCATGGATGTGGATGCAGCGGCAGCATTAATGGTCTCTGACCTTTGCCATGATCGACCAATCACAACAGAGATGACCTTGTGTGCTCAAAAAGTAGAAAACCACCATATGTTGACTGTGAAAACAGAAGAGCCAGGTCTGAGCAGAAACAAAATGGCTGACGGCTGCCCTCATGACCTCCAGACGGAGGACAGTTTCTTTACAGGAGCCCACCATGACGGCCCAGAGACCACTGATGGTGTCAGAGGTCAGCTGAGAGTCGAGACAGATGTCCCAGATGCGTCCAAAATGGCAGAAGATCTTCCAAAGAAGAGTCTGCTGTGTGTGAAGGCGATAGAACAGTGTTCCAAAAAAGAGGAGGAACTCCAACCCACAGCCAAAATGGTCAATCAGGTGTTTTTAAAACTGAAAACTGAGGAACCGTTTGGCACAGGAGCCAAAATGGAGGTATGGTTTACTCCCAGAACCCATACTGCTGACCAGGAGTTTCCTAAAGTGAGAACGGCCCAACAGGCTTCTTCACTGGTCAGAATGGAGAACAGGTTCCTAACTGGAGCCAACATGGCCGATCAGGTGTTTTTAAAAGTGAAGACGGAGGAGCAGCCCCAGCTCGTCTTTGGAACCAAGATGGAGGAGCAGTGTCTGCGGGCAGTGCTGTGGCAGGACATGTCCGTGAACCTGGCATCTGCGTTGCTGCACCAACTTTCGGAGAGAGTTGGTAAATCCAACGGTCAGCTGACATACGGGTTGACTCCGCCCATCAGGAGCAGGTAACACAGCTCACATGTGCAGGTTGTAGGTCGTTGTAGGTTAGTGAAAAGATCACCAGATATAACATGCAACGATGAGTTAGCAGAAGTTAGCAGGAAAAGATCATATTACTATATGAAGTATGAAGTAACCTGGAGTTACTTCATAGAAGTTAGGTCAAATATGTAACATTAAAAAAATAACTCTGTAGATGACTATAGATGTAGCTAGCTGTTAGATAAAAAGATTGATAAACTAAGTAGAATTAGATCAAATAGTTGCCCAGAAACAGGTAACACGTAGCCGTGATGGTCAACAGTATGTCTTAATAGTAAAGTAAATCATTTTATAGCCAAATACATTGAAAATAAACTGGCAAAAAGTAAATAAAGAACAAATGTTAAAAATGAGCAAAAAACAGTTGAACTAGAGAATCTTGAAAGATAATGCAGTAAAGGTGAAAGGTCAAAGGGAAACATGTACATTAGCAAACAATATGATAAAAATCTACCCAGGAATAGATAATAGAGAGAAAAGGCTAAAATGATTTGTGTGTTTCTGCAGTTCTATTTTCAAACAACGTGGAGACTCACAACTTTCTTCTTCTCTTCTGGGCTCTCAGGAACATATTGGTAATTGTATGAGCACACACACACACACACACACACACACTGTGTCTGAACAACTGTATATTTTCCAGCTAAGTGATTAGATTTCTGGGTGAATTGAAAGTGACATTTAGGAAAACTACCTGACTAACTAAATGTTAACTACGTTAGCTTGACTCCAAGACGTGTGTAGTAATCTGTCCAACATAAACATTTTGTTTTTTAATTTTCCATCTTTTACTTAATGTTGGCTAATGGGTTGTGGCTAATAATAATAATAAAAATAATGATAATTGAGTCCCTTATTTTTCCCACAATGGGGAAATTTACAGTGTGAGTCTTTGCAACCGGCAGGCTGCCACAGGAGGCACCATTAGGGATATGTGATTTCTCTGGGAATTTAACCCAGGACTCTCTGCTCTGTGCTTCCAAGGCAGGCGTGCTAAAGAAAACACGATGTAACTATTTAACCCTTGGTTTGTAATTCATAATCTAGTTCTCAGACGAGGTGTATTTACGCTAACAAACAATTTTCAGGTTCGTTTTCTGCTTTTAACTATTTCTGTGCTAACCTTCAGTTTATCTTTGGGTTTGTAGCTAAGTTTGAACTGTTGGAGCAGTAAAGTTTTTGGCCTTCTCTTTCAGTGATGTGACCTAGTTTTCAGTGACGCACACACTGTTTTATGTCAATAACCTCTGGTGGAACCGCTCATTAGTCCAATGTTTCACATGTGAGGAAAACAAAAACTAACAAACAAAAACAGATTTTTTTTTAGTTCAGAGGTGATGAATCACAGAACACATTTACCACAATTTACCATTTGCACTAGACCCACATAAGACACTGCCTGGTGCTCTGCACTATACCATCTGCTGCTTTTATTACTGCTGATAACACCTGATCGCACCTGACGGCGCCGTACACCAGCGTTTTGTTTAGTTTAGTTTTGTTTAGTTTTGTTTAGTTTAGTTTAGTTTAGTTTAGTTTAGTTTAGTTTAACCAGCTTTAGGTCAGAATATGTGAATATGTGTTTGGCCTGTACACATAAATGTTGTTCTGTCCTGCACTTTAATGTTTGTCCTGTCTTGTCTCCGCATGGGACAATGAGAAACATAATTTGAATTCCTTTGAATGTCTAATACATGTGAAGAAATTGACAATAAAGTTGACTGACTCTGATTTTGTGAAGAAATTGACAATAAAGCTGACTGACTCTGATTGTCTCTCCTTTTCCCAGGTTTTAGTCCCAGCAGCCTGATCCCAGACCAAAACTCTGGTTTCTTCTACAGGTAATCTCTGAGCTCAACCAAAGACTTTCTCAAACTTAACAAATAATAACTTTTACCTAAATAAATATTGGCCACAATTCCACAAGTAATTTCAGAAAAATGTCTCTTATGGTTTGTAAGCTAGTTTAAAGGCTGTAGTATGCTGGAAATATGACAAACAACTAATGCTCGCAACAAATATAGTAAATTAAACTAAACATAGGACAGGCCAAAGAGCTACCCTAGAAACTGATGAAAAGAAAAAGCTAACAGTTATCTCCATTGGGACTGATGCTAAGCTGAGGTTTAAACACATCTAACAACTCCCCGATATGTTTATACTAGTGGTGTGAACCCGATGATGCTAAGCTAATTTTCTTTTCTTTCTTTTTAAATTAATCATTTGTTCTGGTTTTATCCATTTGTAATCCTAAGCTAAGTCTAGCTTTCTTTCCAAAATCTTTATATCTGGTTGTAATCGCCTTCTCTAGTTAAATGTGAATGTTTGCCAGCTGCCATGTTAATGATGTCATTGCTAGCATGATGAGCTAATACTGTTGTCCTGCTAGGCTGCTTGCTGTGACAGATGTTGTCTACTCATCTGACATGATATCACATATGGAGATGGAGGGGCAGGTCCTCCTCCAGAGTCATATGACAGAATACTGCTAACATTAGCTTGCTGACATGTTGATGTTGTCATTGCTAACCTGCTACGAGAATGTGTTTTTGCTGATTATGATTTTTGTGGCACTCTGTGAATATTGTGAGAGTTTTCCTTCTCCAGGTGTCACGTATGTGGCTTTGAGACGGAGGGGCGTGTCCTTTTTCAGAGTCACATGACAGAACATCGCCAATGGGAGCACAGCTCCTTCTCACTGCACTGCTGCATCTGTGACCATTCCACCAATCAGGAGTTAGAGATGAGTTCACACGCCAACACGCACACACAGGGAAACTCAGGGCCTGTAGGAGATGTGAGGTGAGTTTTTTTCAGGGGGAGGGGCTTCCTGTTAGTTTTTCCGCCAGTAGTCACTTTAGCTACATTTTGAACGTTTACCTCTTTTTACTATATTTTTGGCTGATATTTTTTTAACTCTTTTGTATTTTTGCTGAAGGAATAGTTAATTACATTTATGTTTCTACTAGAAACTGTAAGATATGCTTACAATATTTGTCTGTTTTGCTTTATTGTTTGGCTAACAATGAACAACTTATGTATGTTATTTTATGTAGTTTCTTTTTTTCGTTTGTTTTTTTGCTAACTATCTTCGTAAACTCTCTATTGTACCTATCTCAGTAAATTTAATCAGTTTGTCTTTCTTCTCTTCTGTCTTGATTCTCCTGTCTTTGTGATTCCCACCATCCCCAGCGTTGCTCCTCCTCTGGCTCCTTCACCTTGTCCTCTACTCCTCTCTCCTGTTCCCTCTGTTGCCACCGCCTCCTCCTCCTATTGCAGCTCTCCGTTGGCAGTTGCCGGGGCAACCCCTGAGCACCGCTGCCGCATCTGTCAGAGGTCGTTTCCGGGGCAACAGGAGCTACTGCTTCACTTCCAGGGTCATCGTCAGGGCAACCAGTACCGCTGTGACCGCTGCGGTCACCTGACACGCACCGCCAACAAGCTAGTGGAGCATGTGCGCGTGCACACAGGCGAACGCCCCTTCATGTGCCACCTGTGCCCCTACAGTGCCAAGAGGAGGGACAGTCTGCGGCTGCACTGCAAGGTCAAGCATGGGCATGTGCAAGCTAGTACGCACGGAGCCACTGCCGCTACGGACACGCTCGGAGGCGTGCACACCCACAGGTCATACGTGCACGGAGACAATCAGCGTTCACACAAACCAGTGCAGCGGCTGCATACAGCCACACTGCACACACAAATCACTGCTGCGTCCACTTCCTTTTCCTCCTCACTTCCTCTGCTTCGTTATCCCTCTCTACCTGAGGGAGCAGGATGGAGGGATTTGTCCCCTCTCCTTCCAATCACGACCCTCCTTTCTTTGAAGACACGTCCTCTTTCCTCCTCTACTTCCTCTTCCTCATCTACTTCCTCCAAACATTCCTTTCTCAGTTACCTTGGCTTGACCACTTCTTAATAAACACTCCTATCTTCTTCACTCCATCCCTCCTTCAGCTCTCTTTGGTTCTTTCCTCCTTCTTTTCCTCACTTTTTCTGTTTCTGTTTTTCCCCTCAATTCTTTCTTTCCTTTTTTCTTATATTTCCTCATCACATTTCTCCTTTTCCTTTATTTTCTGTCCCTTTTTTTAGTCACTTGCTGCCTTGTTACTCTCTCTCCTTACTTATTTGGCTTTATCCCTTTCACTTTCCTTCTCCTTTTCTTTTCCTGTTTGCTTATTTTCATTTCCTCTCCTCTCTTCTATGTCTGTATGAGAACGTCAGTTTTGCTCAATGCACTGAAGAAGCAAACATATATTTTACCTATTAGCATCACACGTGTGCTCCCGCTAACATAATTAATGACACCTATGAAGCTTGTTATGAAAACAAACACATTAAGTTGATTCATCTGCAATGTAAAATATAGAACTCCTTATTTCGTTTTGGTTTTTTTTCAATAGTGTGACATCGTTATGTCATGTTTCATCTGCCACACCAAAGTCTACAGAAGAAACCAGTGATTTTAACTCACTGGGACACTTCACCTGCTGGCCCACTGCTGCCTCCTGTGGTCACATTGTGACAGTGTAGTAAATTCAAATGATAATCCAGTCTCAAAGTCCCACAAACAACACAGTTGTGCCTATAAATGATGCATCATAGACTAATACAATCCCCATATGCCCCAAATGTCAAATCGCTGATTTCTCTATGGGCTTTGGTTTTGAAGTGACTGACAAACATTTTCATCTGTTCAGTCTTTATTTATCAGCCTGTGTTCAAAGTTAGACTTCCTGTCGGATGTTTATGATATTATTGATAATATTTGTGTTGTACAATATTTTCTAATGTATTTGTGTTGCCATATTTACAGCAGGATCTGAAAAAAGTTTCACTAAGTTTTACTGGGCTATGAAATGTTTGTCTGTATTATTTATTAGTTAGTTTATTTATTTATTTAAAAAAACATTTCACTAAATCTAAAGTTGAGGGAAAATAAAAATAGAGCGATACTTTTGAAAAAAAAAAAAAAGAAGAGGAAAACAATCGCCTGGAAACACACTTTCCATAATCACAGATCGCCCTTCCGTGGCTGTGATGGGAACTGCATATGCCTGCACGTATCTTTATCACTTTACGTCGGAGAGACGAGCATGAGACTCACGATTGTCCATCGACCTGCGTTGTTTTGACTGACCTGCTGTTTCCTGTTCCTGTTCGCTGCTGCAAGGAATAATAAAGTTTCGTTCCACTGATAAAGTCACTTACATTTGTTCACAGCCAATCACATCCGTCAGATTCTTTTGTCTCGTTTGTGCCATTTTTCTTTGTTCCCCAATTTTTTTGGGCTGTTTTTGTCTTCTTCTTCTCTTTTTTTTTTTTTTGGTTGTGACTTTTTTGCCTAATTCTTTCCTTTTGTTTTCATGGGATGGTCAGTGTTATATTTAACTACAGTCTTATTTTAAACTCTTCTTTCCTTTTTGTCATTGTTTTCCCTTTGTTTTTCTCTACTTTAGTGTTGTTTTGTTTAGCTGTCTTTGACTTTTTACTATTTCTTTTTATTTGCTATTTAAATTAATAATCCTTTATAGTCTGCCCTGTGACATTTTCGTTTTGTTTTTTGTTTTTGTTAGTTTTTATTCTTTTATTCACATGAACCTCAGGTGTGAGTGCACTAAGTGACCGTTGGGTGCGTGACTGTGTGTGTGTGTTTGTGTCGGTGCTGAGATGTGGACAGAAATCAGACGAGGTGCAGCAGACGTGAAGGTCAGACGCTGCTGAACAAGTGGGAGGACAAGCGTCAATCCCTGTCCGTTACCATGGATACCTGGCATGTTGTAGGTCTCCATGGTGGCCAGCAGGGGATGAGGGGGGGCTGCTGATTGGCCTGGAGCCGGTCAGGCCTCGCCAAATCAGAGAGCAGCGGGGGGGCCG